TGCTGAACCTGCTTCCAGCCACCGACTGACCATCTACCAGATCACTTTGTCCTCATACATTTGCTGTTGTTAGCCACAACCCCTGCCGTTATTACTGTTATCCCACCCCAACTAGCCATTACACCCGCTGTTCAGCTGGAGTTCATCGCCCTTACCTTTGGCCAAGGGCGTTGTTATTGTTTGTTTGTCTTAATATGTCAATATTGTAAACTCCTTTAATTTTCAACAGTAATATTTATATTTTATTGTGGTTACCGGCATCAACCTAAATTCATCCAAGTGATTTTCCTACTATAATTGTCAATTGGTACTTACTTTTTCTCACACTCTTCCGAGATATAAAAATCATTGGAAGTCCATATTATAGTTATGCTCCCCTAATTATGCATGAACCCCCAGGATTCTTTATTCCCCAAAAAGTTTTCAATCTCCTAATGACATATCCTTGTTTCACCAACAATTTGTGTTTTAACCTAGTTGTTTTTCTAGTCTTCTTTTGATAGTTCTATGTTATAATTGATTTTAACGTTTCAAGTGTCTAGCAAGAAAGTAAACTAAGCATTGAAGGTTATAACAACTTAAAATTATTCACGACTTTCAAAAATCTAGTTTGGAATTTTCTAGATTTTAAAGTATACGAATCCAAAAGAGCAAGAGATTTTAAGTTTATGCATGATTTTAAACAAAAATATGAATTGCATTGAAGAAATCAAAACTAAGTACAAAAATAAAGAAATGAAAAATTGGATAAGCGAAATCCTTGTTCCTAAGACTTGATTGTCACCAAAAATCTCTTCCTCATTTGATTAAAAGCATGTACTCTATCACTCACACACAAACATGTGAAAAACTCTCACCCATTATCACTTCCTATTACTTACCCTTACTCTCCACTAGTTCTTTACTCACTAGAGGCTTCCATACTGTTTCAGTGAGTTCCCTCTATCGTCAATTGGTGAGCTTTTTATCCGCCCGTTTGATCGAACCGTCATCAAATTGCAAAACACTCTATGCTGGTGGGTAGTGCCGGAGCGCTATGTACGGACGTGGCGGCAGTGGGTTCGAGGGCCACATTTTGTGACTTTGAATCTTCATGTTAGTGCGTCGGGCAATGCGATGCTGATTGTGTGGGCCCTTGGGCGTTAGACTTCAAACCCTAGAACATTGGCGTCTGACGCCTCAATGTTTTGCTCTTGGGATTTTGGCTAAAAAAATTTTGCTTTGGGCGCTGAGGCACTCTGTTCGTGGTGTGGCTACAATACCCTTCTGGTGCAAGACATTTTGTTTGGGCGCTAGGGTGCCAACTTTAAAGTGCTATATATATTCCCAAGTGCTAAGTTCTTTCATGTATATGACATATATACATTAAATATACTAAAAAATAACATAAAACTATCACTAAAAGTTAAAAAAAATAACCACTATACAGAACATCACCTTTTTCATATATCACCATTTCAATTTAATCATGCTAGAGACACACCACCTAAGAAAGATCAACAATACAACACTTTTACAAGAGAAAACTAGATTAAATAACCTCTTTTGCATAAAACAAAAGTTAAAAGTTTCCAAAATAAAGTTTTAAGCAACATAATTGTACTGAGATACAATTTAAAATCATATTTTTAATAAAAATAAGCGGCAACAACCAGGCGGCAGAATCTCGATTTTTGCCTTCACAAAACGAAAGCCGCCTTGATCTGATGTAATTGTAGGTGACCACTCCTTCGTTGAACCCACACATTAATTTAGCTATTTCTAGCTAACATAGCCATATTTAATTCGATGATTGGTTTTAACCTGCACCATTAGGTTAAGTTACGTGACGGTGCATTTGAGGCCATCCTTGAGAATTCATATAGGCAATACGAGTGTGACGTTGAGCCTGAGTATTGCAGAAAATGCGGAATCGTAGTTTGCAATCCCGTTCGCAATCGTGGTAAAGATGATCCAAAGCTGGGCTTATTATATTTCTTTTTCTTTCTTTCTTTCCTTTTATACTACTAGCTTTTCTATTTTTCTATTTTCCAATTAGGTTCTTTCCTCATGGGGCCTTTGTATAGCTTGTAATAGGGTTTTAGAATTCTTTTTTTTTTGTGTTTTGTATTGGAATAGCTACTGGCATCTCATTTTCTCTCTAAAAGCTGTCTCCAAGTGTTCGGGTGGTGCTCTGGTTGTATCTCACTCCCCAGTTGGTGAGTATTTTCCCTCTATTCCCTTCCGCACCCTGCCTAGATCGCTCCCAACAACTGCTGGGACCACCCTCCGTTTGTTGTTTTTCTGCAATTTTTTCGCCGCCGCCGCCTTTGACAACTGTCTTTTTGCTGTCCAGCAGTCCACCGTTTCTCCCGCTGCCATTACTGTTACAGACCTTCATCTTGCTGCCGCTTGTCGGAATCCCCTTTTCCTTCTCTTTCATCACCCGGAATAGTCAACCTACTGTTCCTAGGGTCTCCCTGCTGCTATACACTCAGTACTGTCACGAAAACAACCCTACGAAAGCCCCTACTTGAGGCAACCACCACCCTTCAAGCATTCCAGCCACCTGCCCACCCTTCCCAATCCACTTAGCCGACCACCACCAACTTGAGTCAGTGTGTCATGTCTTTTGTGTTTTTTTATTTCTATGTGTCGGTTGTAACTGCTTATTGGCTTTTCAGTAATAATATTTATTTTTCTATTGTTGTGTGGGTTAACTCCTGTATCAAAGAGGATACAAAATCAACTAATGAAGAGAATACAAGAGGTTGCACATTGCCATCATCATCCTAGATATTGGCACCCGTTATCAAAGGAAATGACTAGGAGTTATAGTTTACCCCTATCCGGATAACCAGTTTTTTAAATAGGCCATAAATTGTCTTGTTCTTGATTTAATCCTCTCTTAATTTTTTACTAATGATATCTGGATTAAGAACATATCATTTAAAATTTTTATGTTAATATCAACGTTAGGGTCAGTTTTGGTGGCGAGAATTCCCAAATATGAGTTGAAGATTTTAAGCAATAATGAACATCTCAAAACCATAATTTTATATTAATGACTTTCCTTCTTGACTGCATCATCTGTCAAAGTTAAAGTTTATTGGTATTGGTGATTATTGTTCCTCATCATTGACCATGAATTTTTCGTCTTTGATCATGATTCTGATCATCAATCTTGACCAACAATTTTCCATAATATTTGGTTTTGGGCTGCATAATACCAAAGTGGTTTTGCCCATTTGAGATTTTCTCGTGCATATTTTGTGAGCACTACAATTTGCTTATGCTAGCAAAAATGTCTTCCTTGACTTCATTTATTAGGATAACTTCTCACCGCTGTTTGAATTTAATAGCAAAAATTTTCGTTTTTAAATATGGCTTTTTAATTTTCTTATCTTGCAGCAAAGAACACGTGTTGAGCGTATTCTTGGTCTTGTCTTGGCCATTTGGGGCTTACTATTTTATTCTCGCTTGTTGAGCACGATGACAGAACAATTCAGAGTAAGTTTTGAAACAAATGAATTTTACTTCTCTATGGTTGACATTATATAATTTACATATTTCTGTTATGACAGTATAATATGCAAAAGATCCGAGAAGGAGCACAGCTACAAGTTATGGAGACTGACCATATAATTATATGTGGTGTTAACAGTCATCTAATGTTTATATTAAAGCAACTAAATAGGTTCCATGAGTCTGCAATTCGTCTGGGAACTGCTAAAGCAAGGTAAATATCTAAAGAAGTACTATTTACCAAAGCCTCTGGAAAACATGAATGCTTTTGAATTACTGTTTCCACACACTTAAACTTTCTTTCCTTCAAGAATCTCTGTAATGCTCTTGGATTATTAAGACGTTACAACCTCTTTGTGATAGTTCCCGTTATGCAGTATGTTTTCTATCCCTCCGGATTGATTTTTTTTTTCTTGGTTGTATAACTGAAGTTAGTGTGATGGGGAATCATCTTGCCATCAGAGCCTAATAAAGCTTTATTAGGAATTATGCATATGTATCAATGCAGGGTGTCCAACCCTAGACGCGGCATTTTGTCATGATTTCTTGCCTTGGACCGGTTCGGTCTAGGCAAAGGAAGGACCGATCAGTCCTTCCAGGCATGGGCTTCCCTCCTATTTGGAGCGGGCTTCACTACTTTTTACTCTAGGTTTATATATATGCTATTTCTTCGTGTTTAGGTCAGTTTTCCCTTCTTGTGTTGCATTTAAGGGCGAGTGGTGCTTCGACTATATCTTGTTCCGGGGTAGTGACTATTCTCAACTTTTTCCCTCTTTCGCATCCTTCACGTCATTGCCATGCATCCTACCTTGCGGCAGCTGCCCAGGACAGCTGCCATTGCTGTTCTTTCCTTTAATTCTCTTTTCAGCCACCTACCTTCCACAATTCCTGCTGTCCTCCTTCTAAATCAGTCACTAGCTTTCCCCATACTGTTTACGGCAGCCCACAATCTTCCAACATGCCATCCAACATCCCAGGAGTAACCAGCCCGCCTGCCTTCCCAATCTTAGCCACTTTGCTGCTGCTGACTTGTACCATCCTCCTCCACCTGCCATACCAACCCCTATTGTCTGCTGCTATCTCATAGTAGTCCCCATACGCCAGTTATCCCACTTCCTTGTCGCAACCTTGTCTACGACCTACTGCCATTTCTTGGCAACCATCCTACACCAACCCTTTTTCTTGCCTACCACTGCCGCCTAACGCCCGTCCATTCTGTATACTCGTCAACCACCCCTTTGGGATACAATCCTAGTTGCATTTGTGGAGTCGGTTTCCACTTCTATTTTTGTTTGTGCGCGTATTATTTTTCTCTAATTTTGAATTCAACAATAATATTGGATTTACCTATCATTGTTTGGGTTGACTCCAGTATCATTTGGTGGTAGAGCTAGCCCAACCCTAGTCTCATCGTATGGTTCCTAGCATCCACCACTACCCCACGCTATCTTCACCCAAAAAATTTATTTCCTACCCTACATGAGCCCTACAGGCCTCATTCCACCTATCAAAACCCAAAATCTAATTGTTCCGCTGAGGAGACAATTGTTGGAACTTGATCAGGAGTTTACCATGGAAGAGTTACAATGACAACTCCACCAAGTGCTGCAACGACTCTATGACATTGAGAAAATATCCCATGTAGAGGTTACCTACTAGCGTGGTAGCAAGATCCGAAGTGGAGAGTGGAAGGAATACTTGAATTTCATTTGTAGGGATGATTCCAGTGGAGAAGAAGACAAACAATGATGTTTTGGGATACAATGTCAGAGGTGACTGAGAGATAAAATACTTGCTAAAGGATACAAAAATGAATTGTCTGTTACAGGATACAGAAATGAAGTATCTGTTAGAGGATAAAGAAACGAAATATCTATTGGAGGATATAGAGGCTCAGGAGTGTTTTGGCTCCATAAATTTTGACCGCCCTTGACTTTGCATTTGGTTTGTGTTGAGAGAGTTTTGATGGTCAAATTTTCAGAAGGCTCATGAGTAGTAGATAAGGCATTGTCCAAAGATTTTGCTCTCATTTTGCAAGGACTTTTTGATCTAGGATTTGAAGTTTCCTATAAGTGTAAGCATTTATTCTTAATTACCTCTTCTAATAACAGAGCTCTTTTGTTTAAACTTAGTCATTTAACACTAATTAATCAACATATTGTTGCAACAAACATACGCTTGAAATTATAAATTTTTTCACTTGAAGCTTAAAAACAGATGGTGGGGGAAATGATAATATAATCAAGATCCTATAGTTCCTTCGTTCCAGGTTGGTTGACAATCCACAATTTCTCACTGATCTTCAAGTGTGGTATTTAATTTACAAAATAATTTTGAAAATTGTACGGCTTGAAATCATTTAAATTTTGAGATATTCACAAAAATTATTATGATCTCGCATTCACATAACTTCATTTAGAGCTTTAAAAAAATCGCATTCTGTTTGCTAGCAGCATGTTGCAAATATAGTTGCGAGATTTCCAAATTTCAAAACTTCCAACTTTGAATTATTTTTTAACCCTAGGAGCCTAAGTTTTTGCACACAAAATTTTAAATATTTTAAAAACCTAAGACCCTATATTTCAAAGCCCAAAATTTCCGCATATTTTAAAATTCAAATGTTTCGCATTTTAAATAATTTTATAAATTCAAAAGAATAAAAAAATTTTAATTCTTTATAAGTTCAAACCAGCTGAAATTTCTACAGTCTCTCGGTGTAAACCCCCTGTCAGGGGTCATTGGAAAATACCAACCTTCTCAGCTGTTTTAAAAAGCTTGCTAGTTTGTGTCGTGAGACACTAAGGCGAGGAGAAAAAATAAATTATTTAACCCACGGTCTTAAAAGTCGCAATGGGCGTTCAATGTACCTGCTTAAATAACCAAATTACAAGCAAACATTTTCCTGAGCGATAATTTACTTTCCTCGAACGGTGCATAATTCCCACGGATGGGTACTAGCATTTTCAAAGACAAGTATTTGAAAACCCTAATTTTATAAAAAAAAATTTCCATATGAGTCCACAATTTCTTTAAATGACAGTTAATTCTCAACGACGAGTGCTCGAGCTTCCTTGCATGGGCATTTAAAAAAAAAATATTTTTCGATATCCATTTTATAACCTTTCGAGCGAAGCAGCAATGTTGGCAGTAATCCAAAAGACGATGAAATGAAAATATAAATTATAAAAAAAGCAAAAAAAAAGTGCAAGATATAATTTTCTATTTTTTTGCTTTTTTTAATATATATATATATATATA